ATTGGAGATGCATACTGCCTTTTACACTACCTTCAACATTAAATGCATGAGGACACTTGTCATACGAGGATAAGAAGGCAGGGGTTGAAGACAAAGGATGTGCTTGTACGATTCATATAAGGAAATGAAAAAGTCATTGATTGTTGGGAACTTTCACTCCTCTATATTCGAAATATGCCTTTCTAGGAGCATTACGATCTTGACCATTGTTGATATCTCATTTTCATTGTACATCACTTGCATACAACACTATTCATGTAGAGATAAACTTTTGCGAAGATATGATCAGTCTATATAGAGATCTTCTTTGGATATTAGTAGCTTCAAACAACTACTTACAAATCTTGGGTGCATGAAGATTTTCCTTCAATCTGCTAGTAGCTTCAAAATATCTTCGATCTTCAAATCATCTACTCTGGAGTCTTGGTGTGTAAGTTAGACAGTTGATCCACAGTACCGCATCGGTGATCTTCTGTCTTCATATCAGCTAGTCTTCAATTTTGTCAATGGCTTTAAGTATGTACCAAGAAACCAAAATACAAAGAAACCAATAACAACTAAGTGTTGATAGGATAAAAGAACAGATCAGTGGGTCATCACCAAATCAATAGGTGACCCAACACTTACCAAACAAATATATGTAATTTTATTAATAGGACGGACAACTGTTTCGTCTAATAAATCATTCAATTATACCAAACAAATGTATGTCTTATATTACATGTGTTATAATAAGTTTATAAAATATATGTTCGACTGATAAAATAGTAAACATCTATTTGGTTAAAATAGCCTAATATAATTAATTGTTCGGTCTTATAAAAAATTTAATAGTTTAATCCCTAATGAAGAAAAAATAATTAAAATACTATCATGTGAAAGGTACTCAATGACTCGCACTTAAATGAAATTGTTAACAGAAAATCGAACTAATAAGAAAAACTAAAACTAGAATGACAAAAAATATGAAAAAACAAATTATATGAAAAATATTAAATTATTTTATGATAAGTAATATTAAAATAATATAATTTTTTATGTATTAATTATTTATAAATTTATATTGTTTGACTGAATCAAAAAGGCTAAAATACAAAAAATTAAACCAATAAGAAGATATTTAATAAACCAAAAGAAAAAAAATCAAAAAGACTAAAATACCCTTAAATTAAATGGAGAATTTTTAATACATTTAGTTTCAGAGACGAAAACAACAATAAATTACAAACCATGGGGAGGAAAACACAAAAACAAATTACAGACTACATGGATGAAAGTCGCAATTTCAAAACCTCAGGAACGAAAATCATAATCTTTCACGAATCACATGAACGAAGCCGTAGTTTACTCTAAAAATAGAGTAGAATCATAATACTTGGGCTGAGTATTGATTCATTGCTTTAAAAATTACTTTGACATCATTTACTTTCAGCATTTGATACAATTACAAACGCGTATTTATTTTGATAGCAATCAATCAAATAATTGGAATGATATGAGAGGCATAAAAAAAACAAGACAAGAAATTATGGTGGATATACGGTGCATGTATGCGTATGGACCACAACTACTACATTCATTCTCACAGTCATATGCAGCAGCAGCAGCAGCAGCAGCAGCATACGCAACAGCATCATAAGCAGCAGCAGCAGCAGCATACGCAGCCGCAGCGGCTGCGGCGGCAGCAGCAGCAGTAGCAGCGGCAACAGCAACAGCAGCATGGTTAACATCATTTCTTAACCAAATCAACCGGTAAGGGTTAGCATCATTTCTTATTAGAAGGGTCTTAACCAAACCAACCGGTAAGCGTTAGCATCATTTCTTATTTAAACAACGATGGTTGGCACAAAAAGCTCACAATTGTCAATTCCCAACGTTTCGGTCTCTATCTAACTGCATTCACCTTTTTCGCTAAATCCAATTAAATAAGGGGTATTTTAGTCATTTCACTAGTTTTTTTTTAATTTTTATATTAGAATTAGAAAACATAGGTGTATTTTAAATTGTAAATCTTAAATTGTAAAGGAAAAAGGATAACCATCACTTTTCGTTTTTCTTTTATCCTTTTTGTTTTACGATGCAAAATTAATATGTTTTTTATTTTTAATTTTAATGAAAATAACGAAAATGACTTAAATATCCCTTATTTAATTGGACTTAACGTAGAAAGTTAACGACCATAAAACAAAATGACCAAAACCGTTAGAAATTGACAAATGTGAGGAGCCAAATTCAAATTTTTGAAGTTTAAGGATGATATCATTGAAATTTATAAATGTTAGGGACCAAATCCCATGTTTTTAAAGTTTAAGGATAACATCATTGAAATTTATAAAATATTAGGGACTAAATCCCAAGTTTTTAAAGTTTAAGGATAATATCATTAAAATTTATAAACATTAGGGACCAAATTTGAACTTTCTTGATATTGGGTTTTAGTAGGCACGTGCTAAAACTTTGCTCTCGCGTGTGTGTGAATATTCCATCCCAACGCAACGACCTGTTATTTGTCTTTTTACTAAGGGGGCATATTAGTAAATTCGCTAATCTACTATTTATTTATACTTCTCGTTATATTTATAAAAAACATAAACTCGTTTATACAATATTCCCCCCTAATCTATTCCATAATTGCATCCCACCCCTTTAGAACTAAATTCTTACAGAAAAGGATCAAAAGATTATTTAAAATACAAAAAATGAAGATTGTAAGAATTTCAACAAATTCTCCAAAAATGAAGAAAATAGGAAAGCGAGTGTGAAAATCCCCAAAAAAACAATTACCGTTTTTACTGAATTTCCACATAACCAGAAACCTTGAAATTAAAGGTTTACAGAAAAATAATATGTTATTAAATATTTTAATAATATAATTAACGTTATAATCTTCAAATTAGGGAAACTACTGGAGCTGATTATAAATTTCGTTTTTGAAAAAATTGAATAATTGTTTGAGGAACCCCAGATGCTGTCGGAGTGTGACGAATCCTGTACGTGTTCCTAAGAAACGAAATTTGTCCATTTTTCGGGGATTCATCATTTTAAAGAAATTTTTGATAATTTGACATCAAGTATAAACTTGTTTAATAGATCAAGACAAATGAAAAAACACGACTGTTAATGACTAAAAAAACTGATGTCAAATAATAAGCATTAATTCTAAACAGTCATAAGTTCTTGGAGTTTTGAACATAATTTGGGTTTACGATATGATCCTGTTGAACTATAAATATGCATGTAAGAAAAACCCGATGGCAAAACTGTTAAACAAAAATAGACAAAACTATATGGAATTCAGATGATAACTGAACGAAGTGATTTTGTCCAAATACAAGATATGTTCAGATTCAACCTCGAGACTCTCAGCTAGCTTCAGTTATTAAATGAGTCAAAAAATAGTCTCCTACATTAATATTCGCAAGACGGATTTCGTGTGGGACCGTTACCCTGTAATCAACTATTTTTTCCCACACAGAATAAGGGGCCGTTTACCTAAATGCTTACCCGTTAAGCAATTATCATTAAGAGTCAATACTATAATTTATTTTATCGGATAAGATTGTAGTACATCAAAACGTATCTTATGCAACAATTTACCTTGTAAGCGTTTATCCGGATAAGAGTCGTCACCCTCACTTACCGGATCAGACTCTCTATTCTTATCATCGTTCTTACCAGATAAGATTTTGTCCTTTGTCATGTTCATCCGGTAAGGAAAATTGCCCGGTAAATACTTACCGGGTAAGTGTTCAGTAAACGGATTCTAAAAATGAAAGTTAAGGGGAAGAATTAGAAAAGAATGAAACTAGTTGGTATTGGCACCGAGTGATGAGGCGGGCGGCGGTTGTTGGACAGTTTTCTAATGCGCCTAACTTCCTTGACCAGCTGGAGAACTCCACGTGTCACTTGATTAATTTACTTCCAACCCCATAAAATGGGATTCTGATACATGCGGCTTAAATCTACATGATTGCGATCTTTTTTTATGATTTTAAATTATGGGAGTTTGGAGTTTGTTTGTAAAAATAATTTATTGATTTATTTTGATATGATATTAGTAATAAATAATTTTGAGTGTTTGAATAAATAATTTAAATCGGTGTCAAATCGGTGATAAAAAGTTTTTGAAGAAATTAAACCTTTCTGACTTATAATAAGTTGATAAGTGCTTTTATAGAAAAATATAAGTTATTTCAAATAAGTAATTTCAAACACCTCCTTATATTTATGGATATCATAAAATAACGTTTTAGGTTTTTATTTTAAACCTAAAATAAGGTACTCGTTTTTTGTTGATTTATATTTTTGTAAAAAACATGATTCATTTATAATTAAAATTGTATTTTTTTTCAATTTATTTTGTGACCTTTTGTTTACTTGATTTATAAAGTTTAGGTAAAACCTTGTTTTTCCACATAAGTGTACCAATTATTACAATTATTTATTCCCATATATTTTAATGTTTTTTTAAATATAATTTTAATTTTATAACAAATATATTAATATAACAACTTAAAACATATATTCTTATTTAAATTTCATCTTGAAAAACATATTTATTTTTATCTTGAGACATAATTATCTATTTAAAAGTTTATAAATTAGGAATCATGTGAGACCAAATTATTTTTGTAATATTATAAGATTATTTTGTTACATTTAAAATTTTACAACAAAATACTTTGAAAGTAACCTTCATAGTGTTTTTGCTATAAATGTTTAGATTTTTTTTACTTTCACAATGTTTTAATATATATATATATATATATATATATATATATATATTTATATATATAGAGAGAGAGAGATTGAAGTAGGTCATTTTCAGACATAATTTGACATTAAAAAAAGCTGTGTTTTTGTTTAATTAAAAAATGGAAGAAATGTAAGTCTCGCAAATCTACATATAAGAGAGCTGGTTTCAATTTCGTTCAAACTCATCTCTCCCTGCTTATACATACACATATACATACAGAGGGGGAGAGAGAGAGAGAGGATCATCTCTACAGCTGCTTATCATCAATGGAAACGATAACCTCCTTTACTGATTCACCATCACCATACGAGCTCTTGCTAAGAGCTCTATGTCAGATACCCATAACTCATTATGTGATCGGATTGGCGTTGGTTTTTTGGGTTTTGGTGTACGATTTCCTTGATTTTCATGTTGTTCAGGATTTATTGACCGGCTTTAGAGGACAACGGGTCGATTTAACCTTCAATTCCTGCTCCGAACTCTACCGTGAAGTCGTCTCCAAGTGCACTCTTCTTCATGGAAGGTTCGGTAACAAATCGTCGATATTACGTTATTCGTGATTTGAAGTCGTTTTTGATTTAGTTATCATTAGTCGTTCGTTTAAATTCATGCTTTGAATTCGAGTGTAGGTTAGAACTTGCTCACGTAATCTACGGATCCTATCTGCACTTTATATTGATGAGATTGAGAGTGATCATAAATGAACATGCCTTGGATTGTGGTAAATAGGATCTTCTGAAAAACAAAATCTGAAGTTGTATAGCTGAATAATTATGATGGATACGATGGTATTCTGCTTTTCCAAGAATCTTCTAGAACTGCAAATTAGGGGATATGGTTTTTTGTAGAAATATGGGGATTATTGAATACTTGGGTTAAAATTGCATGGTATAGATTGCATTTCGTTACAAATTTTACTTTCGAATCGAGATACATTGATTTCGTTTTGGTATGGTTTGGTATCTGAAAGTTAAAAGAATATGCAGGTACATGTCTACTCCATGGCTTTCTAGTCCTCATCTTCAGACTACTTTCTTGAGATTCTTTGGAAGGCCTCCTGTTTTCAACTACAGAAGGTATTTTTCATCTCTTCACAAACTCATATAAAATTCCTTTCAGACCCGAGACTACCCATTTGTTGATGATTAAGACCCTAAAATTATTCTTACAATTTTCATTCAACATTGGGGTACATCTCCCAACCCTACCTCCAGATGGGATATAGCAGGCTTCATAGTAGTTGCATATATTGTGTATCACCTCAAGTCAACTATACCCTCGTCCTTTTTGGGAGTACACTTCAATTTTGGTCCTTGATGTTTAGTGAAAAGTCTGAAAGTGGGACCTAAACTTTGGATAAGTGTAGATTTCGTCCTCTTCTTTAGGTTGTTTTTTGAGCAGCTATCTTGTAACTCCATCTCTGCAAATGTCTGTTTATTGTTAAGTTTATGCTTTTCTTTCTTCAGGGAGCTATTTAACACAGGTGATGGTGGAGTAGTAGCTCTGGATTGGTTGGCACCTTCTGATGGTAACGATCTTCTTTAGACTATTTCTTGTAAAAACAGCGCGACTTATTTCTTGTGAAGTTAAAAGGGTGTCTATAATGCATTCAGTCATGGAAAAGGAAGATATCGCAAGTGATGAGACTCATCAAGATGCTAACATGCCCATTGTCATAGTGATCCCCGGCTTGACAAGTGATTCTGACGCTGTTGTAAGTTTCTGATCTTTTATCATCCTTCAAGGTGCATTTGGCATGTGGGACGGGACATGAATATTTTGTCTCATGTTTGGCGGGAATTAGATCGTGACAGGACAAGATTGAGTGGAACCATCAAAATAGATGGATTGATAAATTACTAAACTGTCTATGTCAAATGAAAACCTAAAAACAATCACCCACCTATCTCACTCTCACCTGTCACTCCCATCCCGTCTACATACCAAACACACTCTCAGTCTTGATCTTTAATGCGTTATTGAAGGTAAAACATAAACTTGTCTTTTTTTTTATTGGTCGTTGACTGCTATAATGTATATGACAACAGTACATAAAGCATCTCGCTTTCTACATGGCGAAACGTGGCTGGAATGTTGTGGTGAGTAATCATCGAGGCCTCGGGGGAGTACCATTGAAGGTGAGTGTTATATTCCTATGCTCCAACTCCCAACAATTTTTTTTTATCATGTGTAATACTGTTAATGACGTCCCCATTTTACAATACGTTTGAACAGTCTGATTTCTTTTACAACGGTGGATGGACGGATGATATACGCAAAGTAGTCAAACATATTCGCTCTCAATCACCTGACGTTCCTTTGTTCGTTGTTGGAACCAGCCTTGGAGCAAATATGATGGTAAGTACTACGTTCTTCCCATCCAAGTTGAATCGACAAACCATCAAACCTGTACATACGTAGGAACCCCCAACATCTCTCTACAAGGGCTCTTTGAGAATGTTTCAAAGATTATCTAATGCATGAATCCGAATTTCAGGTAAAATATCTAGGTGAAGATGGGAAGGATGTTCTTATAGATGGGGCTGCAGCTGTTTGTTGTCCATGGGACCTTCTGGTTGGTGTTTCATAAACATACTTTGGACCTTTTACTATAAACATCTAGATGTGTATCAAGATGTACAATTTTGTGTTGGATATCTCATTCGTGGCTCTTCACTCCATGGCAGCTATGTGATAGGTATATGGGACGAAATTTGGTGCAGAGCGTCTATGACAAAGCCTTAGGAGACGGTTTAAAACGTTACGCCAAGATGTATGTATACAAACTTAAATCTCCTGATTTCTTAACTTGTTTATGACTGGCCTCCAATGTTATACATGCACAAACTTACTTATGACGAAAATTCGGCTCGTTGTGCAGGCATCAACAGTTTTTTACTTGTCTTTCCGATTGGAATGGCATTGAAAAGGTATTTCATCTTCTGTTTATGTAAAGGATTCGACTTGTGTATGTTTTCTGTCAGGTTTCGCTGCTTTATAACTTGTTTCTTTTGAGATTAAAAGGATTTGGTGTTTACTGATTGCAGGCACGCCGTGTTCGTGAATTTGACACCAGCGGTACTTGTCTTGTTTGGAAATTCGACGTAAGACGAGTCTATATTGTTTTTTCTAGTTTAACCATTGTTCTTTTGCTGAAGATGTGGTCATTACTTTTGCCAGACGGCCGATATATATTACAGGGAATCTAGTTGTGCTGATTATGTTGGACGCATAAAGGTGCCCCTTCTTTGCATCAGTGCACTAGATGATCCAGTCTGCACCAAAGATGCCCTCGTATGGGATGAATGCAAGTACGTTCAAAACGGTCTCTCTACTCCTTTGGACATTTTGGGTTCACTCAGATCCCATTTTTTGCTTAATTGTCTTATACATATGGTTTCATTTTGCTGCTAACTTAGGGTGAACAAGAATGTTATTTTGGCTACTACACAACACGGAGGACATTTGGGATACTTCGACGGATGGGACGCAAAGGGCGTTTGGTAAAAAACCTTTTCCATCTCAACTCCAAAAAACTGAATATGACCAAAATCCTTGCTAGTTTCTATTCATTTTGGGCTGAATTGCCTCTTCCCCATGCAGGTGGGTAAGAGCCGTGGATGAATACCTGACTGTTCTAAGCTCTAGCAAGATAATCCGCCGACAAACTAAGGTAAAACAATGAAAATATATCAAGTAAAACCAAAACAGAGAAACTAGTGATTGACTAACTGTACGTATTATTTTCCTTATTCAGATGCCAAAACCGGTCCTCCAGGCGAGTCCTCGTCCTCATCCTCAGACATCGCTATTCTACAAAGTCCCGTATATTGGTTTGCTGAAGAAAACCGACAATAAGATACATGTAGACAACTTGATGGAAAAGAGTACGAACTTTATGGAGGAAAAAACACAAGGATCATCGTATCCCTCGAGAATCAACAGTCTCGTAACTTTCCTAAAAAGGTTCATGGATCAGTTCTAGGAAGGAATGAAACCATGGGTCACCCTAATTTGTTTTCCTTCGCAAATGTACCCAGGTTGTCTATATTTTGTAAAGAACAGTGTTCTTAAAAACTATAGACAAGGTTCAAAGATTAGTGAGTGCCTCATAAGGGAACTGTAATCATTTCTTCTTTCGTTCCAAAATAAATTGTTCCTTAACGTCTTAGTTTTTACAAACTACAAGTCTAAAAAAGCTTTAGAAAATGCCAAGAACGAACTTGTAGTTATAACCCAAAGAAGAAATCAATAAAATTACAGCAATCAACCACAAAGATAGTGCTTGATTGGTTTGAACTTGACTCCAAAGGTCAAAAGTACCAGGAGGTCTCAGGTTCAAATCCAAGGAAGAATAAAAATCCCCTTATGGCCACAAAGGTTCAAATGTGGCGACTCCGGGCTATCTGCAAAGCAGGTGGTCGTCCTGGAATTAGTCGGCTAGCATAACGGGTTTGATATCCAGGTTAATCAAAAAAATAATAATTACAGCAATCAATCAATCTGGTTTCTGGTAGAAAATAAAATGGATATGAAATCCTTTTTGTATTCTTAGAATACTTTTTCCTTAAACCAATATGGATTTCATTCAACACATACATAAACTAGGGGTACATGTAGAACAATACAAATTCCCTACACCCAACCCAACCCAACCCAACCCAACCACTAAAGTACATAGCTCTAAGTTTCTATCATAAGAGTGTTAAAAGAAACATGATTCAAACTGAAAAGAAAAGGCCAAGGACAGAGAGCTAACGGGTTGGTCTCTTAAGCACCACGCGACATCTTGATTTTCGGCATCGCTTTCTTCAGCTGTCGAGCACGTTCTTTTGCCTCTCTCTTGCGTAAAGACTCCGCATTCAGCTTTGACTCCGCCTCCTCCATCATCCTCTTCTTCTCTGCCTTCTTCCTCTGGATGGCTTCTTGTCTCGCATATTGAAGCTCCTTGTAAACTTCTTGTGCAAGTTTTGCTCTCGCTGCTTCTGGTTTGGATCGAGCCTGTTTTGCACAGTTTAAACACATGTTATTATCTAAACTCAACTTCTGAGTTTCGTTGCTATGTGTTTTAAGGAAAAAGTGTCCTGCCTGTGAGCTGAGTTTGTAACGGCCAATTAAGTCGATGTAATAGGGGATTAGAGCCACGAGTCGTGTCATGTCCGCCATGTGGTCGGCACCAGGAAGAGAAAACTTAAACACCAACATCTTCCTGTGGGTACTTTGCATCTGATCAGAGAAATGCATTGATATGAATCCCTTCCCAAATTTCTCAAATGCTTTTTCACCAAATACCTGCAGAGAGGAAACACAGACCATGTTGTGTAATCTGAGGCAGATGACTATAATTCGACTTTTGCATACCGAATCAAAGAGAACGTAAAGAACAATATAAAGATTCATCCAAGATCATCTATCAAGCCGAGGGTCTTCACAGAAATAGTTGCTCCACCCCTAATTTACATCCCACACCCAGACCCTACTAAGATTCACCCAATATCATCTATCAAAGCCAGGGGTATTCATGGATATAGCTGCTCTACCCCTAATAAGCAAAGGACCCATCTTCATACATCCCACCCCGACCTCTAGCAAGATTTATCCAAGATCATCTATAAAAACTCGGAATCTTCACACGAATAGTTGCTCCACCCCAAAGGGTAAAAGAGAGGTCTGCCTACATCCCATCCATACCCTACTTTCAAGTGGGTTTGGTTTATCCAAGATCATCTATATGCATATGCTGCCTAATCACAAGCTTTCATCAACCATACATCAAGTTCTTAACCCAATTGCAAACCCCATGTAAGCAGCAACAGTTAAGAGGTAGTAAAACAACCATTCTTGAACCAAATCTCTTTCAAAAGTGGACTTACAAACTGCAAATTTCAGTCCTTTCTGTACATGATCAAAAATCCATGTTTTCTTTTTCTCATAACGTTTCATTTTTTACTTACCTATAGATTTCAAGATTCTAAACCAACCTAAAGGCTTACATGGCATTCAAAAGCAATTCGAAATCATCAATGCAGCAACAATTGATAGAAATTAGAACCAATGAAGTTGTGTAACAACTGTTCTAGACCATAATCACTAACCTGATCAAGAACAGCCTCAGTGATCAAGTCTCCGGCGACCTCCTTAGATTCTGTAACAACAGCCAATTCATCAGCAACCCACTTCCTATTGGTGGGTGCAGGCATCAGATTGGCAAACCTCTGAAGATCCTTCACTTCCTTCTGCATGGTCTTTGCAGTCTTCTTCTTGGCCAAAGCAAAAACCACATGATCCATCACATCTTCATTCATGTAAACTTCTAATGTAATCTCATCTTTACAAGGCACAATCATATTATACAACCTTGCTATCAAATCATGGCGGCTCTTGAGCTCCATTGTAGCCAACAACCCTTGACAGAACCTACGCCCACTCGCGTAAAACTTGAACACGTTTTGACCTTCTTTCAATAGCAATGGCGAATCCTCACCTTCTCCCACACCCAACAAACTAAAATTCTTCTCGAAAATCGAGTCATTAGTAGCGAATTTAGCCGCCCAAGCTAGGGCTAGGGTTTCATTCTCTTTTTTCCCAGTAAAAAAATTGATTGCGTATGTGATTAAGATTGATATACAGGTTATCTCAATAGTATACGATCTAATACTCTTCGCTGCCGAAGTCGGTTTCGCAACCTTCTCAGTATCATCCGTAGCGGCCGATTCAGAACCATCCGGCGAGGCAGGTTCAGTAATCTTGGAGACTTCAGGGGGTGTGATTTCAGCAGGGAAGCCTTCAAATTCATCTTCATCCCAAAAATCAAACGACGAGGATGCAGTTGACGGTTTTGTAGCAAGATCGGAATCAGCCGGACGGGATGAGGCGGAGGAGGGTGGGCCATGATGGGATTCGGGATCAGATGGGGTGGACAAGGTGGTGGGCGGAGGAGGAGAACGGCGAGGGAGATCAGAGAGGGATGATTGAAGAAGAAGGGAGTCGTCGTCGAGTTCAACTTCGTCATCGGCGTCGAATCCTTCGAAATGGGAATCGGCGGTGGCGGAGAGGGAGATATGGTGAAGGAAAAGAGAGAAAATGGAGAGGAGAGCGATGAGATAGAGAAGGGTGTCGCCTCTAGGGGCCAAGAGGGAAGAGAAGAACAGAGAAGAAGAAGAAGATCGCCCTTTCGCCATTGATGAAGCGCAGAGAGAGAGAGAGAGAGAGTGTGTGTGTGTGTGTGTGGCGAATTGCACTATGCAACTGGGAAAGGGCAACTTCGACACAAAAGTGTCACATTCTTTATGAATTACGAAGAAGTCCTTTAACTATTTGTGAATATACATTTTGGTCCTTTAAGTTCTCAAATGTCATATTTGTTAAATGAAGTGGATGCTTCACTACGATGTAGATGAGCAATTCAATAAAAGAGCTCGAATAGCAGTATTGATTCAACCTGAGGTCTTTTAGAATAAATTCAGCAACGAATCATTAAATATTAATCATCTTCTTTATCGAATGAATGGGAGTTTGTTTTAAAATCGTTCGCCATGTGATGGGAGCTAGATATTGTATCTCTACAACACTAAATGCTAACACATGAAAGTATATATATATATATATATATATATATGTGTGTGTGTGTGTGTGTGTGTGTGTCAACACTATCGTATTCAAGTAATAAAATGGTAAGAACCAAGTATCGTATTCCACAGGGATAAGTATCTTAAGTTGTAAGATCTCGAGTTGAAAGACTAACTTCAGATAGCGAATTGCAGACTTTGATTTGTTACTGAGTTAGTTTAATGCAAATAACATAATAAACAAAAGTAACATGGGTGTAAGACTTGTGGTGAGACTCAAACACGAATTTTAGTAGCCAATGTTGTAGGGATGCTACAACAAGCAGTTATTCATAACTTAGTTCCACCATCTATTTTGAGGGTATTCCTCTCGGACTTTCACCATTGCACTATATTATAGCTTTTAACTCATATCTCTATGTGGTATCCGGACCAGGGATAGTGACGAATAGTGTCCTCAAAATATATGGATGAACAAATCTCTTTGTTAAAAATCACTCTTTCGAGTCGATTCCCATATCATTCAAGTTGGTGTGGGGTTCTAGGTAGTTCATCTCTGAATCTACCACACTTTAACGCTTTAACAAGTGATCAACTCGTCGAGAATTAATTGTTTTAAGAGATATAAATGACAAGTCTCCTTGTCGTTAACTTTCTCAAGTCTACCTCTTATATTATTCAAGTTGACGTGCATTCAATGGCTTATCTCTAAGATCATGACACTTTAACACTTTCAAAGTGATCAACTCGTCAAGAAGTGTCTTTGGTTTTTATAAAAACTTGAATGAAATAATGAAACGTCGTTATTGCAAACAATAACTACTTTCTTTCAGTTTAAAATCTCACCATTTCGTCTCACACCAAAGTTATGAATTTAGTCAATCATAACAGAAAGTAAATGACAAATAAAATACATAACGGAAAGTAAACACATAAATATAAATTATGTAAAGTAAATGACGTAATGTAAATAGCGAGAAAATAAAAGAGCGGAAAGTAAGTAATAGAAATTAAATGACGGAAAGTAAAGAACAATCTTAAAAACAATTAAGAAACTTAAATTTCTTCAAGGTTTAGAGAGAGAAACCAACTTTTAGAAGCTGATTTTGGATGCTTCAAACAAGAATCTTCTCACCCCTATTTATACAAAAACAAATCATATAAAGACAAAATGGGGACCCAAAGGATAAAACCACAAAAGGTAAATAGGAAGTACACATCCATGTACTAGTTAGTTACAATATTTCTAATAAAAGTTTAACTATTTTTACACCAAAAGTCAGCTCCAATTCTTCTAGAAACCAAAAAGAGCCAACAGTTTATTCCATTAAGATCTTCAATAAGCCAAAAAGCATCAAGAAACGGCTGCATCAATGTTGTAGCGTCAAACAGTCCAACAATTTTTTATATTAAACTCCAAATGGTGTAGAAACAAGTAAACCACATAGTTTAACTCCAWAATTAATAAAATGGAAAATGAAGTAATAAAATGACTCAATATAGGGATAAAAGAAAAACAATATAGCTAAGAACTTGCAAAGTGAGTGTTCTATACATCGAATTCTCAATGTATATCACCATGCAACCCCCTAAGACAGGAGTATATGCTTCAATATGAATCACATAAAGGTACATCACATAGTTCGTTTTAGGAATTGACAACTTACTCATTCACTAACTTTGGCATCGAGCGTTCCCCAAACAGTTATTTTTAATCAACTGAATTCATTAATACAAAATGTGTTGTCGTTCTTGCCTTCCTTTGCCTTTCGTGGCCATATATCTTCCCGGCTAAGGAAAAAGAAATCCTTCTACTGTTCGGTTGTTCTATTATTTCAATTTGCATTCCGTTCAGGAAAAAAACACCATCGATGCCTTCATTTGAGCCAATAATGTCTCGTTAAATAGGAACAAATTTGAAAAGTAATGATAACTCTTGAAATTATATATTGTTAGAACTTGATAATTATCCTAATTATATTTTAGATTTTTTATATTTTAAAATAAAATGTTTATCCTCTATTTTATTATGTTTAACCGCAATTAGTTACATGAATTCAAACATGGAGCTTTAATAAGTTGTATTTGTGCATAATTTATTTGTAATCTGAAATTTTAAGTAATATGCATCAATATACAGTAATTCATGCATAAAAAATAGTTTTTAAGAGTTTTTGTCAAATGTTCTATAATATACTATAGATAATAAGTTGTACTTGTGCATAATTTACTTGTAATCTGAAATTATAAGTAATATGCATCAATTTACAGTAATTCATGCATAAAAAAATAGTTTTTAAGAGTTTTTGTCAAATGCTTTATAATTTAGTATAGATAGATATTTGGTTTATAAAGTTAATAATTAATTATTTTGTTAGAACTCGATAATTATCCTAATTATATTTTAGATTTTTTATATTTTAAGATGAGATGTTTATCCTCTATTTGATTATGTTTATCCGCACTTAGTTACACGAATTCAAACATGAAGCTTTAATAAGTTGTACTTGTGCATAATTTACTTGTAATCTGAAATTTTAAGTAATATGCATCAATGTACAGTACTTCATGCATAAAAAAATAGTTTTTAACAGTTTTTATCAAATGCTTTATAATATAGTATAGATAATGATAATATATAGATATAGATAGTTCAATAACCACGTGATGCAACGACATATAAAACTTTATTGCCATGTACATCCACATTGATTCAATTATTTCTCTCCACGATAGAACATGGGTCTGTGCTAGTACAAACTTTTTTGTTAAACAAAAAATACATAAGTAAGGGGTCGTTTATCTAAACACTTACCCGTTAAGCGATTAACGGTAAAATACAACTTTATCGCTTACTAATCGGGTAAGATTTTAGTCTACCAAAACGAAATCGTATGTAACAATTTACGTGGTAAATGCTAATTGTGGTAAGATATTAAGAATAAGTTTTAAAATTAATTCATTATGTATTTATGTTATCTAATAATATGATTAAATCCAAAAATATTCAATATTGAGCTTATGAAGGTGTTAACGAGACAATTATAATGGTATAATTTATAAAAAAGAGCATATTCTCTTAATGTGTTTTAGTTAATATATGATTATGTATGTTAATATGATAAAAAAGTAAATGAAAAAAAAAACGATATAAAGTAAATTAAATAACTAATTAAAAGAGTATAAAGTGTATTATTTTAATTATCTTGTTGAATGGTCCAGATAGATAAAGATGTAAAATGTAAATGTATGAATATAAAACAAATTAGTTCATATGTATTTATGAGATTTAACAGTATATTAAATTAAAAAATATTCAATATTTGACTCATTTTGAAAATTTAACCAGACGATTATAATGGTATAGTTTGTAAAAAAAACGTGTTTTTAAATGCATTTTACTTCATATATGATTAATTGTGTTAATATGAGAAAGTTGTAAAACAAAAAATAAAGATATATAAAGTAAATTAAATAGTTAATTATAAGGGTATAAAATAAAATCATTTTAATTATTATGTTGCATCGTGGAGGTTGACAAGCTCCAAAACTTGTACATTATGCATCAAGACTTGTACGTCTTAAAAATTAAACAATAATCGTTTAACACTCTTTATAATACTGGAAGCTTACTTGCGCAATGCAGTGAGATACATATTTTAACGTTTCATTTTATAATATGGTTTAGAGAAAACGATAATGTTTTTATATTTGAATAAAATATAAATTTTAAGATCCATATTTTTTTTATCGATATTAGTATCAAATCAACAATTTAAAACTTCTTGTTTTTTATATATTTTTTAATTCAATTTTTTTTAGTATAATTTAATTTAAAATTTAATACCAAAGTAATTTATTTTAGGTATAATAATATACTGTTTTTCATAAAGATAATTTTTAGTTCAATCTTTTTATTATAATTTAATTTAGGTTTAATAACGAATTAATTTATTTTA